TGGGCTATGCTGGAACCAGGAACTGGCTTCAGATCGGATTGAGTCTGGCCACTAAAGCATTTGGGGAGTAAACTTGCAGGTGGAAGATCTTTCTCCCTCTGACTCTTCTTCTTTCTGTAATTCTGCCTTTTCATTAAAATAAATTTTATATAAGGAAATAAATGGATAAAGACCAAGATTCAGTGGGACATCTAAATGTGACTCTATACTGTTTGCCAGATTTCTCTGTCAAGATGGAGTTTCTGTTGTTCCCATGGTATTTGGCTGGCTCATATTCATGCCTCTGTTACTCGGCTTCCTTTTCTGTAACTGTCTTACTTCCCCCTCCTACTAGTGTTTGTGTGTCTCCCAAATGAACAACTTAGCACTTGACTCATTGTCTCAGTATGCACTTCTGGAACTAGCCAGTTGAGTTAGCAAATGAGGTTTATGGACAATAATCCCTGGGAACTGGATGATGTTGACTTGGTACTGGCAGCCTACTCCCAACCTAAGCCCCTGGACCATCATCAGGGCACAGCATTGGGCAGCAGGCCACGGGTCTGTATCTGCTGAACAGCTTATTTAATTCCAGAGTGAAAATCATTCACAAGTGCGTGAGCCACCCAACAAGCCACTTACTCCCACATCACTATTTCCAGTTATAAAATTTAGGCGTGGATGTCTGGCATAACACTTACGTCCTACAAGTGATCCATGGATGAGTTCCTGGGTTGAATCCAAACTTCTCTGCTTCTGATCTGCTTCCTGTTCACCTACTCGCAGGAAAGATATTGGATAACAGCCCCAAGAGTTGGCTTTCTGCCACCCACAAGGGAGACCCAGATGGGAGTCCAGGCCACTGGCTTCAGTCTATAATAGCTCATCACTTGTTACTGTTTTGGCCTATAGATTCTCTCTCTCTCTGTCAGACTTTTTTCAAAGGTTTTTAAAATTTTTATTTCGAAGGCAGAGTTATAGAGAAGAGACAGAAAGAATCTGCCACTCGCTGGTTCACTCTCCAAATGGCTGCAATGGCCAGAGCTGAGACAATCTAAAGCTAGGAGCCAGGAGTCTCATCCACGTCTTCTAAATGGATGTGGGGGTCCAAGGCCTTGGATCACCCTCTGCTGCTTTCCCAGATTATCAGCAGAGCGCTGGATTAGAAATGAAGCAGCTGGAACTTGAATCAGTGCCCATACAGGGTGACAATGCCGAAGGTGGAAATTTAGCCTGCTGTGCGAACAGCGCTGACTCCAACTCAAAATGTTTAAAATCAGTAAAATGGATCTGCGCTGTCCATCTGACTTCTTACATTTGTCTCTTGTCCAGAACTTAAAAGAATAGGAAGTCGTTGCTGGAGCCTCTTGAAATGATTGCAATAACCATGGTAGGAAAAGTAGACATCGAAGTTGAGCAAAACCCAGGGATGTGGCCAGTGCCGTGAGAGAAAGAGCAAATCTGTAGTTGGCAAAGGAGACAGTGCACCAGCCAAGGAAGTCACGGGTAGACATTGGCCAAGACCACGTGACTGGGACACGTGGGATGCTGGGGAGGTGATCCTGCAGATGAAACTGGAGCTCCATGATGAGAACTAGGTCCCTGCCGCTGAATAGAGTCACCCCATCCACTCTGATGTAAGGTTGTGGGGCAAGAGCCAGTCAGGGGCCTCCTTTGTGCAGCTGGCATGGGGCTCAGGCGCAGGTGACTGGGCTGTGGCTGGGGATGTGGTAAGCCCAGCTATGGCCAGAAACCAAGGAAACAGACTGGTCCTGCTGGATTCTGCAATCAGGTATCTAAGGGCCTGGCACACGGTGCCTCTGCCCATGCTTGTCAAGGGGCAGTCCTGCTTTGCTGATGGAAACGACAAACTTGTGTCTCCTCGGGTTTTACAAATGATCAGCCTTAAAGGTCTTTCTGTAGAGCTCTTTCTAAAAAGATTTAAAAATTTTTTTTTTTTATTTGAAAGGCAGATTTACAGAAAAATGGAAACAGAGAGGAAGATCTTCCATCGTCTGGCTCACTCCCCAAATGGCCACAACAGCCAGAGCTGAGCTGATCTGAAGCCAGGAGTCTGAAACTTCTTTCAGGTCTCCCACGCATATGCAGGGTCCCCTTGCAAATCTGATGTTATCGAATTTTTGCTTTAAAAATTCCTTCCCCCCAATTCTTTCCCTCTCCCTCTTCTACAACTGCTCATTTCCTGAAATGAGCACAGAGGGGAGGGAAGTCACCATGCCTCACCCTGCTTCCAGGCAACAGCACCTGACTCCCCTCCACCCCACCACGCTGCTTTTGGCACAAGGTTGTCAGGTCACAGCGCGAGTCCACTTAGGCAGGAGTTTGGCTGCTGGTTAGTTGCAGAAATGCCGTTTGCAGAGCGCACCGAAGGGCAGGCTGCAGGGGACGACTCATCTCCTTGCACAGGAGTATTCCTGGGGTTGGCGTCAGTAAGCCACATGTGAGTCAGTGCTGGTCACCATGTGTCAGTGCTGGTGACCACGTGCAGAAGGCTGGCAGATGTCTCACTGGAGAATCTGATCCACCTGGGGACAGGTTGGCTGCAGCGTTTGGCTGCTTCCCTAACCAGTCCTGGCTTAGGTCAGTCGCTAAGTTGTCATAGATGGTGGTTGCAGACCATTATTAAAAGGCAAAGTTACAGAGAGAGGACACACACACACACACACACATCCCTTCCCTCTGCTGATTCACTTTCTAAATTGTCATGTCAGCTACAGCTGAACTGGTCTGAAGCCAGGAGCCAGGAGCTTCTTTTAGGTCTCCCATGTGGGTGCAGGGGTCCAAGTACTTGGGCCATCCTCCATTATTTTCCGATGCCATAAGCAGGGAGCTGCATTGAACATGAAACAGCTGGGAATAGAACCAGCACCCACGTGGGAGCTGATGGCGAGGCAGAGGATTACCACGCTAGACCACTGCGCTGACCCACGAGGATAATTTTTGTAGAGTAATTCTGAAATAAAACATGAGCCCACCCCTCACCCCGCCCCGTTAAAATACATGCACAGTATCTATTCAGAACCCTGCATGAGTGTCTGTGGTCATGGGTTCAAATCCATCAGCTTCAAGGGTTTCATGACCATGAGAATGAGACTCAATTTGAGAGACCAATGGGAAGGCCCAAAGACAGACACGTGTCCAGCAGGGTGACACTAGGTTTTCCTGGAGGTTGAATCTGGTGCAGCCAGTCCTCGGGTGTGTCCATTCCGGAAGCTGCTCAACTGGTGTGTTGGGTGATTGTCAGGGGAGAAGGCCTTTCCAAGCCCAGGATGCAGCTCGACCTGGACAAGGGGAGGGAGGGACTTTGGCTGCATGGAGGCTCCCCCACACTCCACACCCCTTTGCCCCATCTTCTTCCTGCCTCCATGGAACCACCCCAAAACAGCTCCCCTCCGAGAGATCTCAAGTGTGGAGCACTTGATTCTTCTCTCGGAATTGAGAAACAAACCTGATTCTGGTAACTATTGCTCAGTGACTTGAACTTTTGCCACCTGTTCTTAAAGGGGCCTTATGTCCAGAATTCCAGATAAAATAATAATTTAAAAAATTGTGTATTTATGGTAAACAAAGTTACATGGTGGTTGGGAATTTTTTTTTAATTTTCTAAAATTACAAGGGATACCTTAAAAAAATTACAGAAGACAGCAGAATTAAGTTTACAATTTCCTCTCTTCCTCCCCGTAGCTCCTAGCAACCAGTGTTGCTACCTGCAAAATCTTCCGTGTAATTTCCTGATAGTAAGTACCGCACCTGGACACGTGGGTGGGGCTAAGTGACTTGCACCACAGCGACAAGATTGGAGAGGTGGGGCAACTCTGCTTCAGGCAAAGCATGAAGAAGGCCAGAGTTCCTGGCCTGGGTGGAGAAGGCTGAGCCAAGCAAGGTCAAGGTCGAGCTGGGCAAGCTTCACAGGCAACCCAGCAGGTGGCCAGTGGGATGCTCAGAGGTAGAAAAGATGGGCAAGATTTATTTTATTTTTATTACAAAGTCAGATTTATTCTTTTTAATGGAAAGTCAGATTTATAGAGTGAAAGAGAGACAGAGAGAAAGATCTTCTATCCGCTGTTTCACTCCCCAAGGAGCCACAGTAGCCGGAGCCGAGTTGAGTAAAGCCAGGAGCCAGGAGCTTAGTCTAGGTCTCCCATGCAGGTGCAGGGTCCCAAGCCTTTGGGCAGTTCTCTACTGCTTTCCCAGGCCACAGGCAGGGAGCTGGGTGGGAAGTGGAGTAGCAGGGACAGAAACTGGCACCCACATAGTATCCTGTGTGTGCAAGGCGAGGACTTTAGCCACTAGGGTACTGCTCCAGGCCCATTGAGTTTTTTTAATATTATCTTATTTTTAAAGATTTATGTATCTTACTTGAAAGTCAGAGTTGCAGAGACAGAAAAGGAAAGACAGAGAGACAAGTCCTCCAGCTTTCCTAACTCCACAACAGTCAGAGCTGAGCTGATTCAAAGCTGGGTAGCAGGAGCTTCTTCCAATAGCCTGCCTGGGAGCAGAGGCCCAAGGCCTTGAGCCATCCTCCACTACTCTTCCAGTACATTAGCAGGGGGCTGGATTGAAAGCGGAGCAGGCAGAGGATTAGCAGGTTATGCCACTGTGCCAGTCTCAAGCGAAGATATTTGTAACAAAGCTATTTAGAATAAAATTCCGTTTATTGTATCCAGTGTAAACCATGCACAGCGTCCCCTCCGCAGGTGGTCGCGGGGGTGGTCAGGCTCCTAGGGCGCACAGCGCGCCGGGCCCCACTCGCCCCTTCCTGCACATTCCACGCGCTCCCCCCACGCCCCTTCCTGCACATTCCACGCGCTCCCCCCACGTCCCTTCCTGCACATTCCCACGCGCCCTCCCCGTCCCTTCCTGCAAAATCGCACGCGCTCCCCCGACTCGCTCCTTCCTGCACATTCCACGCGCTCCCCCACTCGCCCCTTCCTGCACATTCCACGCGCTCCCCCCACGGTGGGCCTGCCAGGCTGGCTGCGCTCGCCGCCCCTCCCCAGCCGACCCCTCGCCAGTGCCCACGCTGCAGGCAGGTGAGCATCCGTGCTGCGCTCGGACCTGTCTCCGAGAAGGCCCAGCACGCATGTGCCGCCGTCCACACGGGCCGTGTCCTCTCCGGCCTTCCGTAGGGCCGCCCGGCCGAGCTCCACGTAGACCGCGCAGGCGCCCTGGGCGCACCGTTCACCTGCTGCCGTCGTCGCCGCCGACGGGGCTGCATGGGGGGCCGAGGGCAGCCGCGGGCACCCGGAAGAAGGAGACGCGGCGGCGGCGACGCCGACACCCGCAGGGCGAGTGCGCCGATCCGCCCGCGAGCCCGGGGAGGAGGCGGCGGCGGCGAGGTCCGGCCCCCGCCGTCCCTGGTGTAGGGGAGAAGCCGAGGGCGCCGCGGCCGGCCCGGGACTTGCACGGGCTCTCGCCCCACTTGGGGTCTCGGACACGCAGAGGACCCCCCCACCCGCGCTGCGCCATGTTCAAGAAACTGAAGCAGAAGATCAGCGAGGAGCAGCAGCAGCTGCAGCAGGCGCTGGCTCCCACTCAGGTTCGGTGGCCCTGGGTTGTTGGCGTCCCCGGTGTCCGGATAACCCCCAGAGCAGGCCCCGCAGGGGAGCCGGGGAGGGAAGGAGGGATGCTGGGTGGTCTCCCGCGACCTCCGATCTCCGGCCTCCCTTCCAGAGCGTGGACCGAGCTGGGATCTCTGTGACCCCTGACCCGGCTTCTCCCCAACCCCAGAAGGAGGGTCCTGGAAGGAGTGGCAGGAGCCCTCGTGCCATCTGACCTTTGATGGTGACCCGAGGATGGGTGCCAGGGCCTCCTTCCTACCCTGGCGTGATTCCTGACCCCCAACCCTGGAGGGAGGGCAGTCGGGGGTAGTTTCTGACCTGCATGACAGGCGTCTCCTCCTCAACTTGAGCTGGAGTGTCCACTGGCCGGGGTCCCAGAGGACTGTGAAATCACCATCCCCCTAACCCCCCACCTCCCGCCTCCAAACTCGGGTGCCGGGGGTGAGGGCCAGGCTGCTGGCTGGCAGGAGTGGTGGCGGCATGCCCGGTGTGCAGAGTGCCCGGGGCTGTCACGAGTCGGTGTCCCTTGGCACAACTTGAGCTGAACGTTGTGAGAGCGGCCGGCCTGGTGCCTGTCCTCAGGCTTTGCCTCTGCCTGGTGCACAGTGAGTCTCAGATGTGTTTCCGGCAGAGGGGGGTGTGTTCTCAGTAGAGACAGTCCCCTAAGCCCTAAGCATGTTGCAAGCAGCGTGGGATCGCAAAGAGCGAGATTGACGGTTTCGGCTAGATTTCTTACCTTTTTCGGATCCCACCTGATGGAGCGAATCTCTCTTGAGTTTGGGGTTTTCTGGTTCTTGCCTACAGCTCCAGGAAAGGAGATTCTTTTTTCTTTATTTTAAAACAAACAAACAATCACTTAAGGAAGTGGCTGCAGTCTTTGAATGCTTTTATCTTTTGAAGTAGCTACCACACTGTGCGTATTCTGAAAATATAAACTGAATCTGTCTGCAGATTTTCAGCTCATGTGGAGTAGAGCTGTGCTCGACAAAGACGGGGTCCTGGTGGCTTGTTTATCCTGGGGGTCAGTGATGACGAAAGTGTAAACAGTGGAGGTTCTTTAAGGAACCAAGGCACCTTAGATGTCAGGTAGAGATGAAGACCGTGAGGGAATGGGCAGAGCAGTGAAGTTGAATCCTTTACGATTAGACATGCATACATCCTGCAGTTGTTGGTTCAGCCTTCCCTTTCTAGAAATTGTTCTGAGAAAAAGGAAGATGTATTGTGAATTTAACTGCATGGATTTCCCCCCACTCCCCTTTTCAGTGTTGTAATTGATGAAAAGCTAGCTACTATAAATGTTCCGTGCCGGAGAACTGGTTAAGTAAGTTCTATCAGGGACTTGGTAATTATGCAGCTGCAAAAAGAGGCCAGCGTTTATTAGTTCCTGACTGTATGCCTAACATTATTTTGCTTGGTGTCTTACGCAGACTATTCGATTTCACCTTGACCTCTGAGGCAGACACCACTTTATTCCTCTTGTACAGATAAAGGAGTGAGGCCCAGGAGACTTGTTAACTTGTCTAATTTTGCACGCTTAGTGTTGGAGTCCCCCCAAAAAGTGGCACACAGGAATATAATGTGTCATCCTATTTTGTAGGAAAAAAATATGTGTATAAGTATATTTGCATAGACCCATTGTGAAAATAGCTTCAGAAGGTTGTCACTGCAGCACTGGTGGGTGTTGACTGTGGTCTTCCTCAGTTTCAGCACTTAGGTTTTCTTTGTGAAATTGAATCGCTTTTATGAATTAACAAGGAGATTTTTCTTTTCCGAAGATTTATTTGTGTTACTTGAAAAGTCAAAGTTACAGAGGCAGAGGGAGACACAGAGAGAGAGAGATTCTGTCTCTTGTTCACTCCCCAGATGGCTGCAAAGACCAGAGCTGAGCTGATCCAAAAGTAGGACTCAGGAATCTCCCTTGTAGGTGCTGGAACCCAAGGACTTGGGCCATCCTCTGTTGCTTTCCCGGGCCGTAAGCTGGGTGCTAGATCAGAAGTGGAGCATCCGGGACGTGATGCTGGTACTGGGAAGCACAAGGCTAGGCTTATGTACCACCATGGCAAACTCCTAAAGGGGTTGTGTTTTAGCAATAGTGATAGTAAAGCCTGTTGCAAGCTAAGATGTTCTAACTTAAAGCTTTTGCTGAGGCAGTGCGTGTGGATCAAAGAAATCACTTGTGTGTATAAGATTTACAGCATTTCTTTTAGGTGATATATATATATTTATCCTGAACTTGAAAAGGAAATGTTATAGATCAACTACTGAAAGAAATTTGATTCTCTTCGGTTCCAGATCGTTAGTATTTGGACTCTTCCAGGAATGAGGAGTTTTGGATTATTGTCAGAGTTCAAAACAAAATAAAGATACATGCCTTTTACCAAATGCCCTGCATATCCTGTGTTCCTAAGCAAAGGGTCTTTGATTAGTCCACTATTTTCTGGATGACTCAAGGTCGGACATTTTGAGTACAAATCATGAATATTTATTTGAAAAGGCAAAGTTAGAGGACAGAGATCTGTCTTATTACCTGGCGTATTGGGAGACTGTTTTGAGAAAATTAGCCAAAGCTTTAGCAGAAGAGTGTCTGGGAGGGCTTCCATAGAGAGAGCTACACATTTCTCTTAAGAAATAAAGGCAATTTTTTGGTTTGTCGTAAAACAGGTGTTTTGGATATATTCCTAGGAGTGCTATTGCTGGGTCATATGGTATGCAGATTTTGAGTTGTTTGAGTGTTCTCCAGACTGATTTCCATAGAGGCTGTACCAATTTGCAGCTCCACCAACAGTGGAGTAGGGTTCCCTTTTCCCCGCATCCTCGCCAGCAAGCGTCGTTGGTGTTCTTGTTTATGTGGGCCAATCTTGCTGGTGTTAGGTGGTACCTCATCGATGTTTTAATTTGGATTTCCCTTATTGCTAGGGAGCTGGAACATTTTTTCATATGTTTGTTTGCCATTTGGACTTGTTCCTTTGTGAAATGTTTGCCCATTTCCCGTGCCCATTTCTTGAGTGGCTTGTTCGTTTTGGTTTTTTGGTTGTTTTGAAGTTCTTTGTATATCCTGGAAATTAGCCCCCTATCGCCTATATCGTGTGCAAAGATCTTCTCCCACTCTGTGGGTTGCTTTTTTACTTTGTTGATTGTTTCCCTTGCTGTACAGAAGCTTCTTAGTTTGATGAGGTCCCATTTGTTTATTTTGTTCTCAACTGCTATTGCTTTTGGTGTCCTTCTTAGAAAGTCGGAACCTACTCCTAGGTCTTGCAGGGTATTTCCTACATTTTCCTGCAAGAGTTTGACTATCATTGCAGCACAATCAGTAATTGCAAAAACATGGAAGCAACCGAAATGCCCATCAGCAGAAGATTGGATAAGAAAGCTTTGGTTCATCTGCTCCATGGAATACTACTCAGCTATTAAACAAAATGCAGTTCTTTGTGGCTAAATGGGCACAACTGGAAACTATAATGCTAAGGGAAATGAGTGAATCCCAAAAGATTAGATACCACATGTTTGCCTTGATTTAACCTGTAATTTTTGCATGGTTGTTTGTTATTTTTTGAACCTGTCATTGATACTGTCTCAACCCAGATGTTTCGAAGAATGGAACTTGCATTATTTTTAACATATTGTTTACCCAATACTATGTCAATTAATTCCATAACGTTGTATATTGATACTGAGGCCTTGTTGGGGCTTTTAACTGACCGGATCTTTACTCTGTTAGACCTATCTTCAGACCATAGAAGGTCTCCCCAAGAGGCCACTGAACTTATCTGGACAATAAGACGCTGAACTTTATGCTAGGCATGTGTTTGCAAGCAATGAATCCCAACTGAACTTGAACTATGGTTATGCAACAAGGTGGAGGAATCCACCATGGGGGGAGGGGAATGGGAGGGGTGGGAGGAATCCCCAGTGCCTATAAAACTGTACTACATAATACAATGTAAGCAACAATAAAAAAAAAAAAAAAGAAGAAATAAAGGCAATTTGGAGAGAATTTTGGTGGGAAATAATTAGGCATGTGCTATAAAGCCCCGATTCAGCTACTTTTGACTGCTTTTCATTCCTTGTTCTCCAAAGGACACCCATTTTCCTCCATTTAATTGTGTAGAAAAAGAATCTCCATTGACATGGTTAAATTTGCAGGACCCCCAATTCCTCTGGAAGTCCCTGCTGGTATCATGCTACCAAAAGTATCTTGAGCTCAATGAAGCTTATTTTTAGAATTAAAGCTTACATCTTTTTTTCATCTTTATCCTCTAAGAAAAATTTATTTTTGCGTTTCATTTGAAAGGCAGAGAGTAGGTGAGTGCTGTCTTCCGTCTGTGGGTTCATCGGGTTTCTGCAGCTGCCAGGGCTCTGGGCCAGGCCCAGCAGGAGCCTGCAACGCAGTCTGGGTGTTCCTCGTGCACTGCCGGGGACCAAGTGCTTGAGCCACCGTTGTCCGAAGATGCACATTAGCAGGAAGCTAGAGCAAAACTGGAGCCAGGGCTTGACTAGGGACCCTTGGGACGGGCTGTGGGTGTCCCAGGCAATAGCCTACCCGCTGAGCTAACCACCTGCCCCTGTGTCTAAGCTAATTCCACTTTTCCTTAGAAGCCATTACATTTATGGTATTCCAGGGAGATTTGATAACGTGTATATTGCGTAGTGTTTAAAATCACAGTAAACACATCTAACTTAAATATGGCTTCTTTATGGTGCATTCATTTTAGGTTTTATGCATTTAGGCAGGCAGGCAGAGGCTTTCTGTCTGCTGATTCAGTAATTGCTCACAGCACCTGGACCAAGGCTTTGGGCCATCCTCGCCTGGGAACTTTACTATCATTCTCTACAAGTATAACAAGTTCATCTTCTGAAGTATTTGACTCGTAAGTTAGGGATTCTCATTAGTTACGCATTCTTTGGGTGGGATTCAGCTTGCCATAACCAGAACCACCTTGCCGCCTATGTCACCCTGGAGGTCATCTCCAACCTTGGG